AAGGCAAACAAATAATGGTTGGAATTCACTTAGAGGCATATGCACACATAAGTTACGAAGTTACTCCAAAAGAGTCACCATTGCACATTGGACATATTCTGCTGATAACAGCAGAATAGGAGTTGTGCAGACAGTATATTCACCTGTGCCTTGTCTCTGCATTGTGCTTGTTCATCCTATACTTTGCATTGTGGTTATGCATTCTGTATTGTGCATTGCAGAATGGTACCCAGTCATTGACAGGTGTTGCATAATGTTGGTTTTCTGCATAGAGGGTACATAATGTTGCTATGGAATATGTCCAGATGCAGGTGTTTGCATTGTGCTAATTAAGTCCTGTTACCATGTATGGATGTGAGAGCTGCACAGTCAAGAAAGAAGATAGGAGGAAAATCAACTCATTTGAGATGTGGTTCTGGAGAAGAGTGCTGAGGATCCCATGGACAGCCAAAAAGACAAACAAATGGATCCTAGAACAGATCAAGACTTTGGACACATCATGAGAAGGCATGAATTGTTGGAAAAGACAATAATGTTAGGAAAAGTGGAGGGAAGTAGAAAGATAGGAAGGCCACATGCTTGATGGATGGACTTTATTAAAGAGACCACAAATATGAGTTTGCAGGAGCTGAGCAGAGCAGTAGAGGACAGGGGGGGCTGGAGATGTCTCATCCATAGGGCCGCCATGGGTTGAGACCAATGAGAAGGCAGTTAACAACAACAAAAAAGAGGATGTGGGACTGAGGCCATCCATTGACTGACAATATGCCTCTGGTTGATGGCACACTCTTCTATCACGAGCTTGAACTAAAGGCAAATGTTACACATCAGGGGGAAAATGTCTAACTAATTCCACAAGGGAAGTTATGCATACATAAGACCCCTGCAGGATTTCAGCCAATGTGTAACTAAGAAATAGCATTTTTCTTTATATATCAGTGTTGGCAAACTGCTGTCCCTCCAGATGGTTTGGAAGTCAACTTCCAGAAGCTTCAGAAACATGGACAAAATGGTGAGGGATTATGGAAGCTGCAGTCCAAAGAATCTGGTGAACCAGAGGTGGACCTGATCCATCTCCTGTATTCCCTTGAGCCAACCCAAGATCTCTTATTTGAACTATGGGTGCATGCTGATCACCTCATAGTATCTTGCCCTCTTAGATAAGGACACCTATTTTCCTTTGCTATCCCTTACCTTGGAACAAATGTAAAATCCTTTGATACAATTGGTCTACCCTAGTATGGGCTAATTGGGTTGGTGCCCATAAAAGTAATGTTTTCCAAGTCCTGCTATAGATTTTGGAGTTTTTAAGCTTATCGTTGAATGCTCCATGCTTCCTTGCATGGTGAGAAATTTCAGTTGGATTCAGTTATCTAGGGATGAGAGAGGACTAAGAACCTGTGGTATTTCTGAAGCTATTTGATTTGCAAATATACAACACATAAGTAGAGGCAGACCAGTGGAAAATTTCAGAGGTCTGCACATGAGATCCTCATAGATATATCCTGGACAGCACAGTAACTTCAACATGGTCTACCCTGTTTTATTTCAAACTGCAAAACCACCATTGCTTGTTGGCTTGTTTACTTGTTTGCCTCCCTCTTCCTCCTCCTCCTTCTTGTTGCTTTGCCTCTCCTCCTTCTCTTCTTCATCTCTTTATCCTTCTCCTTGTCCTCCCCCTTTTTATCCTTCATCTCTGCTTCCCTCCCACACACTCTTTAGCTGATATGTGCAGCTGTGTCTTCTCACATAAGTGCAGATGAGCACTTCATTCAAATACACAGATAGATTCTCAATTACTCCTGAGGAAATATTGACCAACTTTTATACATGATTAATTATCAATGATCACTCTACCAAAGGAAAGCTATGTCAAGCTGCTGTAGCATCACTAATTTCTGTTAACTTATGATTGCCTTGTTTCTTATGTCTATGACACCATCTGAGGCTATGTCAACCTTTCATTGACCTCTTGTCTCCTCATCACCCTTCATCTTCCTCAAGATACAGCCCATGTCTACACAAGCCAGAATACTATGGAAGCAGCCCAGAGTCTTTGGGCCTCAAAGCTGCCCCAAAGTCCCTATTACCTGGGCACTCTGAAGCAAAACTGGGTGACTGTTCACATGTGCATCCCATTATGCTTTCTGATGCCACCACAAGCATGTTTGCTCCCTCTGAGGCCAAAAACAAGGCACCCAGTATCAATCGAATGGCTTGGCATCTCATTCTGACCTCAGAGGAAGCAACTGGCAGGAGTGGCAGTGGGCGGCACAGGAGGACACATTGTAATCAGCCGCCTGGCATCCAGAGGGCTCTGAATTGTCTGGGAACATCTAGGGCCAAAAGTGATTTTTTTAAAAAAAAATAGTAATAGCAAGCAGCAAAAGCAAGTACATTTCTATACCACTTATCAGTGAACTAGCACTCCCTAAGCATGTAAGCCAATAGTCCCCAACAATCTGGGTACTCATTTTACTGACCTATAAAAGGATGGAAGGCTGAATGGACCCTGGAGTGCCTCTAGGATCAAACTTACAATGTTGTGGCCACAGTACCAACATTTAACTCACTATACCACCAGGGCTCCTTTTTAAGGAGGGTATAAAGCTGGTTCACTACTGAACTGGCTGTACATCATCAGGACAGTAAACATCAGAATTGGGGATTAGGCCCTGCATCATCTGGGCTGATCATTTAAGTACAGGGGGGAGGTGTTATTTGACCCATGTGGACATGGCCACAGAGAGACTTTTCCATTCTTACTCATTGTAAGTAAAGGTATAGGGTACTGGGCATGATTTCTGGAAGCATCAGAGGTTGAGGCAAAACTTATGCAGATCTGAGCATCCTGGAGACTGATGTGGTCCAAACATGGAAGTAGAAACAGCTTTTTCATAAACATGGTGAGTGAATGAGTATGTCTATCTATGTCTATGGCCAAGATCCTGCATTGGGATTGCACTGTGTAAACCTCCACATGTACGTTTGTGATAATGGTAACATTGCACAACTGATCCAAGGCATCAAATGCACATGTGCACCTATGAGCAATGCACATCCCTGGCCAATGCACAACTATGTGCAGTTCACCGCATGCTCAACTCTACTTCTGGAACCTTGAATTGAATGCCACTGCTGTCTCATGAGGGAAGTTACTTACACTTGCTTAGGATTCCAGCCTATGAAAACATAGAAAAATAATGCATTATCATTATAGAATGTTATTAAAATATACAAAAAAACTGGAATATAGTAGTTTGCAGAGCAAGAGTAAGAGATGAGACCAAAGTAAGTTTGTAAACACAGATTTATTATGCTGGCAGTCCCAAAGGAATTAGCATTCCAAAGTTTTGGGTCTTGAACAGAAGAAGATGGCTTCATTTTATACACCTCCAAACAAAGAAGTCCAATTCTTACACCTCATTGGATACTTCAAGTTTTAAACATATAGAATCTCAAGCAATGAGAATAAAGATTTCAGAATACATTATAATCTACTTAACCACATTCTAATGCTCTTTTATCAGCAAAAAGGTGGTACCATGGGGCCCCTTTGCACAGAGTGCCTATCAGTGATTTACAGTGGTACCTCTACTTACGAAATTAATTCGTTCCAGCAGC